AATTTAATATAACTTTAAAAATTCGAATAATAAATTTGGCAAATACACTAAAATTTTATTAATTATATAAAAAATAGATTCAAAATTATTTTGAATTAGTTTAAATAATTTCAAATTTATTTAAATAATCATTATATATTTTTTCTCTTTAATTATCCTATTTATAATAATGGATTTATTTATTGTGAAATAAAGCGATTTAATTTAAAATATTTCAAATTAGTTTATTATTATCAAATAGTAGATAGTAAAGTCTAGAATATTGGATTTTTTAAAAATATAAATTTTATTAATATTCAATTAATTTTATTATTTTAATTTTATTTAATCTTAATCGAATTAGTTCAAAATATTTTTTTTATAATATTGTACAAAATATTACAAAATATTTCGCAATATCTTATATTATATTTTGTAATAATTTTGTATAATATTTCATATTTATATATATATTTTGCAATATTGTATAATTTTTTGCATAATATTATACCTTTTTTACTTAGCATAATTTATTATGCTCTATTAAATTTGCTAATATATATAAAGCTAAGTATAGTAATTAGCAAAAGAAAAGATAAGATTAGTTGAAAAAAAAAGTTAATATAAAGACAAAAAATAAATTTTTTTAGTAAAAAATAAAATAATCAATTTTTTATAGATAATATATCTAAATAAAAGTTTGATCTTAATAAATTATTAAAAATTACTAGAAATATTATTATATATCTAATCTTTTTTCTATAAGCTTAGATTATTTTTTTACTAAAATTTTACTTGTATTTAATATTAAATTAAGCTATTTTTTAGTTTTAAAAGATGCTCTTTAAGCTCTTTATACTTTTTTTAAAATTATTTTACTAGCTAAACTAAAAGAATTAGTAGATATCTAAGTTAAATTATACAAATTTTCTAGGTCTTGCTTTTCTTTTGATAGATCTTTAGCTATTAGAGCCTTGTTATATATTTGAATAACTTAAGTTTTTCTATATAACTTTATACAAAATTAGTTTTTATTTAGCATAAAAACATCTTGGAGTTTTTAAATATTTAATATATTTAAAAATAATATTGATTTAGATTAGCTATTATTAATACAAACAAAATTTTTAATAACTTATAATAAAAAAAAATTTGTAAATATGCCTAGCAAAATCCAAATACCAAATATTATGAAATTGCTCAAAAATTTATAAAAAGATATTTAGGCCTAAAGTTAGACTATTTTACTGTAACAAAGGTTTTAAAAAAACCATGAACAATACAAAAATATAAAGAATAAAAGTGTAGATAAAAACCAGTATCATTATAAGCTTATTAAATTTTCAAGACTTGAACTTGCTATGAGAACTTGGATATAGCAAATAGTTGCTGCAAATATGCCTTTAAGTAATCACTTGTTAAGAGAAAAAGAAATTAAGTTTGCACACATACTTGATATTATGGAGAAGAATTTATCATTTTCATTTGGTTGAATTACAAAATTTAAAAAAAGAAATCAACTTCATTATATTACAACCCAGAAAGAATCTGAAAGTGCACTGCTTAAATCTTTATCAGAGTTTCAGTTATAACTGCAAGAAGTTACCTTTTGCTATTATCTTGATGTATTTATAATACAGATAAAACTGGTCTATTTTTTCGCATGCAAATACTTTCTGATAAATGTCAACATGGAAAAAAATTAGCGAAGTCATAGTATTATTTTATTGTAATTAATTTTTTTTAATTTTATAATATTTTAATTTTTTAATAGAACAAAGTACGAGTTATAGTATTACTTGTAGCAAACTCTACTAGAACACATAAACTTTGTCCACTTGTTATTAGACAATCTGAAAAACCCCAGTATTTTAAAAATATTAATATTTCTTAACTACTAGTGATTTATTATTCTAATAAGAAGACATAGATGAGATCTAATATATAGAAAAACTGGTTATTCTATATTGATAGTATTTTTCGAAGTTAAAAGCAAAAGATTTTGCTAATTGTTAACAATACACCTTTACACACTTCTTTAAACTTTACAAACTCAAAAGGAGTCTTAAGCACTAATGCTTTAACTAATATAACTATATATTAATTGCCACCAAACACAATATCTTATATACAGCCATTAGACACAGGCATAATTAAAAGCTTTAAATCTAAATATAAGCGATATTACTTTCAGCATGTTTTAAAGTTGTTTATAACAATATGATTTAGAAAAGAAAGTTTACTTACTTATTATTATATTTTTTTTATTATATATTTTTTTTATAATTTATTCTTATTGTATTTATTAAATTATAAGAATAAATTGAATATCAAACAAGCTATTAATTTTATTGCATATTTTTAGAATAGATTGAACAATAATATGATTAAAAACTATTAGAATTCTACTAGCATACTTTCAAATATAACTAATAGCAATGAATCAGAGCCAGATCAATTCTTTATGGATACTAATGATGATAATTACAAAACTATTGATCTTACTAATGATGTTTTTTTTTAAAAAAAATAAAATTTATTTATTTTATTTTTTTTATAAAATTGTTAAATTTTATTTTTTTAACAAAGACCCAATGGTAGTTGAACTTGCAAAAGATTTTAAATTATATTGAAGAATCATTGATGAACCTCTCACAACAGAAAATGTGATGAATAATAAAGAAATTCTAGCAATGGTTCATAAGACATTTGATCCTAAGCCTGCAACAACAAATTTTAAAGAAGATGAAGTACCTTTAGCACCTCCAGTGAACTTATCAGAGACAATAAATGCACTACAACTTCTTATTCAATTTCAAAAACAAAGAGAAAGTAATGATAGGTTTAAATCTGAAGAGTTAAATATGTTGTACAAAAAAATATACTATTTTGAAAAATTGAAAAATGCAGCAAAAAAGCAAACTAATCTTTTTTACTATTTCGATAATAGCTCTAAAAATTTATTTGAAGTAGGCTTTATTTGAATTATTATATAGTAAATAATACTGTTTATTATATTTATAATAATTAAAACTTTATTTAGTAATCTTGGTATCTATAAAGATAATAAGTATCTCAAATATTAGTAAAGTCAAGAAGAAATATCAGTAAAATCAGAAGTGATAATATATAAATTTGTATTTAAGTTATGGTTGAAAGTAATAATCTAGAACTATATCTATTAAGTCTAGCCATCTAAATCAAAGGCCTGATATAAATATAGAAAGCTTTTGATATTATAAATGGATTGCTGAATAAAATTAAAAAAAAAAAATTACTAAGTAAAATTAAAAAAATAACTTTGTACAAAGTTGTAATTTAAAGTAAATAACTTGTATATATAGTAATTCACTATTTTATATAAATAGATATTATTATTGTACTATTTTAAAGTCAATTTTATTGATTCTAAGTTAATATAAATTAATAATTCAAATGTGAATTTATATTATCATATGCTTATTAGTGCGAGGTGTTAATTGTTACAGGACTAATGATATGAAAATCACAACTAGAGATGAGTTTAGTTATAAATGGTCAAAATTACTTATAGCTAATTTGCTAAATACTAAGATGATTTTTATTTTTGAGCTTTTAATTAAAGTTGTTCAGGATTAAATTCTAGTTATACCAACTTATAAGTTGAAAGAGTGATACCTTCTCTGGAACTCACCATTTCAAAATTTGTACTATGACTAGTCATTAACTATTGGTTAATAACTAGTCATAACGTTACAAATTTTGAAATTTTAAGTTTCAGAGAAGATATCACTCTTTTTACTTATAAGTTGGTATGATTAGAATTTAATTCTGAACAACTTTAATTAAAAACTCAAAAGTAAAAAATTAACTTAGCATTTAGAAAATTGGCTATAAATAATTTTAACTATTCATAATCAAATTCATCCCTAATCACAATAAATATTTGAGGTTTGCTATTTATCACCACTGGTGATTATCACCAGTGTTGCTATATCTCAAAAATGTACTAAGTAAACGGGATCAGGTATTCTAAGTAAAAATGTTCAGAACCTCTAAAAACCTTACAAAAACTAAAATTAGGACCTTATATTAGCTCTATATTATATTAAATAAAAAAAAAATAATTCTCTAATTTCTAACCCTAACCCTAGCAAATCTTAGGACTGGTAATAATCACCACTGGTGATATGTAGTAATTTTCATTTATTATATACTATTTTAGATCATATAATAATAATATTGCTGATATACTGTATAATAAATATAATGTAAACATATTTAGCAAAAAACATAGGTTTCTGTAAAGTCCTCTTTCGAGTATAATCGTTTAACGTTACGCAAATCCGGTTTACCCTACGAGTAGTGATTTTTAAGGCATACGTTTTTCCCAGCATTACAATACTATAAAGTCAAAAGCAAAAGCAGTAAAAGCTACTGAGGAAATTATGTGGTCAAAGCTTTTTGGGTAAAAAGTTTGTAACCACGCAAGATAAGTCACAATGCAGATGTTCTTCTGCCTTAATTCATCTCGTCATTAAAATCATTCATGTAATCAGTATCTGAAATTCAATTTTTAATTTAGTTGCAGACCCGCAACCAATTAAAAACGCCTAGCAAAAATTTAGTTGCGCCAAATAAACCCGAATTTTACATGCGGAATCTGCATATGCACTTCAGATTCTGGTTGTGAAAATTTAAAATTTTGTTTCGGTCCGCAGACTCCGCAATCCAATTTCAGACACTGTATGTAATCATGGCTTAAATTTTGATCTAAACTTAAGAATTATTAATTGTTACTAACAAAATGCAATTTTTCAAATAAATATTTCATTTATTTCATTAAATTGTTTAAAGAATTTAGTTAGTCACCGTAATTATTGAATCTGATTACATCTAAATAAATAATTAAAATGTATTAACATTCAAGTTCGATCTTTTTTAAGAATATAAGATAATTTGAATTGAATATCAATTTCAAAATCTTTTAATGTTAGTATAATTAGAAGTTTCAAATTCAACAAAAAGTTTATAATTTTTTCTATGTCGATTTATAAACCGAAAAAAATAAAAAACGATTTCTTATTGATACAATTTGTGAAAAAGTAATTCTCTCTTTAGTGTACGAATGTTTTATAATTTACCAAATTAATTATTTTTTATTTACATATGTATTATTACTTAGGCTTACACTTAATATTAAATTTTCTTTGACCTTCTCAATAAAATAAATTGCTTTTAGTAATTTTTAAAAAAAATAAATTCAAAAAAAAAAAAAATACAAACATGGTCATGTTTTACTATTTGCTGAGATTGCTGCTTTCCTTTTTCACCGTGTTTATTAAGTTTGTAATTTTATATATATTTATTTTTTTATTTTAGTCATTACTTTTTTTTTTTTATTCACATCTTTCTATTTCTTCATCTTTTATCGGCTTCGTCATGTTTTGCAGTTTCGTAACTTCCATCAGGTTTGCCACCTTTTGGCATTTTGTCTTTTAAGGTACTGATCTACGTTTTGTCAACGCGAGACCTCTGGATATCGCCTAACAGCTATAATCTAGAAAAACCCACCTGATCTGTTAAATTCTTCACATTCATTTCATAAATAACAATCTATTGGAATAGCTAGATAATCTATAACGTACTTTAATGTATATAAACCTTGTTGAATAAATAAATTACAGATACTATACAAACTAATAATTTATTTAAGCACTGCTAAAGAAATAAATCATTGGGCTTTAAAGCTTATTGCACACATCATATACTTTAGTTAAAAACGAATTAAGTTACGACACGTAGGTTAAGTACATACACATAACCCGGAAAGTTTAACTAGTTATAGGGATGAAAAAAAATTTTTTAAGCAGTTTTTTAGATTTTTTTTTTTTTTAAACCATTTTAAAAAACTTTTAAAGTATAACTATTGCTTCTGATTTTTAATTTATCGTCAGCCAAGTTTTATAAGTTAAATTTAAAGGAAAAAAATATCTAATATTTTTATAAATATTAAGAAATTTTTTCAATGGGAGTCTTCCACGAATAATAATTTTTAAAAATAATAATAATTTAAATAATAATTTTAAAAATATAAATTTTTGAAATAATAAATAAATAAAGGATTTATTAATTTTGTGCAGCCTGCACGGCTGTTCACCCTATAGTAACAATAATTAGGATTAGGGTTAGGATTAGAAGGTTAGAGGTTAGAGTTAGGTTAGGGATACATATTAACATCATTAACATCATTATCATTGTCCATATAACTGATCAAGTGGTCTTGCATTATTACAACCTCTGAGCCACGATCACTTTCATTCTTCACACACAATGTTTTGACTTCATGACTATATTTTCAAAATATTAGTTCGAATTGTCTTAACTGGGTAGGAGGGATGGGCAGCCTAATATTCAAGACTGGCAATAACAAAACCAAAAGATAGGGCTTTACTGATTCAGATCAAATACTTATATACAGGCCTACCGAAAAATCAATTAAAATTAAATTTTGCTATATGTCATACAATTAAAATCAATTAAAATTATCATAAAATTAATTGAAACCCAATTAATTGCAATTAAAATCAATTTTCTTTCATTATACATACCTTGTAGAGAGTTAATACAATATGTACCAATTTTTAAATACATAGTAATAAATTAAAAATCATTATATAAATAATATTTTAAACAATTGATTTAAATTATTTGTCACGCATGGCGCTGTAAATGTAATTATTAAATAGCTGCACAATACAGTCGTGCTAAATCAGAAATAAACATGTTATACTTATGCAAGAGTAATAACCTATACATATAAAACAAATTTAGAAATCTTATTCTAATACTTTGCAACATTATTTATATAACTAATGATTACGAATTCTGGACCCTATTTTTTTTTTAAAAAAAATAAAAACAAGTTTATACTTGTATATGTTGTGCCTCAGATGTATTCTTGCGTCAGATGACACCCGGCCTAAGTTAGATTAGGGTTAGGGTAAAATTACGGTAAAGTTAGGAGTTTTTTTAGGCCCATTATTGCCGATCATTTAATGCTGGTCAACCTATGGTCATCTGACGTGCGTCAGGTGCAATCTGACGCAGGTTTTAATCTGACGCACAACATATATGTAGCTAACCTTATCTCATACAAAATAAATATGCACTTCGCAATACAATATTATCGAAGTTTAATTTTACTTAATTTGATTAATATCTTGAATTGTCCACATTTTATCATTTATTCTGAGCAGCAAAAGATTTTTCAAAGTATGCAGATCAAGAGATTTTTTCCAATTCATATAGTAGTATTTGACAATTGAGCACAACCACTCTACTGCATTAGATGTGGGAGGTACAATTTTCATATTCATGAATTTTGACTCTTCTAATCTACATTTTTTTAAAACTCATTCTTTCATAGTTGTGGGTTCTTCTTCTGCTATTGATTGTATATCATATTTAAAAGTAAATGCCTGAAGTTTTTATTTCTCAGTAAATGTTAATGCAGCTTCTTGCTTGCATAATACTTTGATCATGGCCTCTTTAAAAAAAATATCATGAATAACTGGTGCATTCCATCCTAATCAATTATTCAATTGTGGATATTCTTCAAGTAACAAATTGAAATATGTACAAACAATATCTAAATTCATTTATTCTGTAAACCATTAATTGCTTCTGAGAAGGATTTAAGTTGATTAATAAAATTGGTAACTTTTTTGAGGTCTTATTGTTTTACTCATGAAATATCTCAACCTAAAAGATAAAAAAAATAAATTTTAAAATAAAAAAAATAAAAATAAAAAAAAAATTTAAAAAAAAAAATCAAATTAACCCAAAAATCTATTAGTCTGAATAATGTGGAGAATAAGTTCTTTACACCATTCAACTATTTTTATTACACTCATCCAACAGGTTGCATTATCTAATATAGGATTTAAAGATGTTATCTTTGCAAGTTTTCTATGATTCTTATAAGTCTGCATTATAATTACAA